CCCCCCCCACCCCCTCCCTCTGCAAAGCTGCAGCTCCCTGCAGAGGCTCTGCCCGTCGCTCCCCAGCCTGCTCCGGGAAAGCAGGACCCACTTCCAAGCAATATGCAGGAAACCAGCTCACAGGCAGCGGCCCTGCATCCAGAACAACGAGGATGCAACAAGCCTGAGGCCACCACAAGCTTTACAATTGCCTCCAACAGGCTGAAAAGTTCAAAGCCAGCTCTCCCTGGACCCAAAACAGTCGGCGGTCTGTTTCTCCGTCCAGTTTCATGCAGTTGAATTTACTGGCGTGAGCGCAAGGAGCCAGATTTCAAAACCCCACACCCTGATTCTGCATGAGCATCGGCTGCCGAATCTGCAGCCAGAGCGCCAGCACAGCGCCTGCTCCGCAAATGTCTCCACTCGACCTTTCTCACCACTCCCCGACAGCTCAGATCCCGGGTACCCACAAGGAATCCATGCAACTGGAATAAAGTTCAACCATGAAGCAATGAACGCATTCAGGAAATCGACCGCCTGGTGTGGAGAAAAGGCTCAATTCATGGACAAAAGCAGTTCTGACACCTCCTGAGCTGCGGGCTGGGCCGACCAGCTTGGCTTGGGTGCAAGACCAAGGCATCCAACAGATGCCAGCCCAGGTTTTTCCAGAAAGAAGCAGCCACTCCCTCAGTCATCCCATTACAACTGACAAAAAATTCAGCACAACAGCTGGAAATTCCAGCCCGAAATGCCACTGGTGTTTGCTTTCCAAAGAGTTTATCTTCGCTGCATCTCGCTTACCCACAGCTCCCAAGCAGCGCTCACTGCCAGCCCCGTGACTGGTGCCAAGGGCAGGCAAAAATCACAACCTCTGGGGCAAGAGCGAGCTATGTAAAGGTCACGGGGGGATTTGTCACAGACAGAAGACCCAGTGCTCTCTCTTGGGTGCCTCCTGCCCTTCCCATCTCCTCTTGCAGCAGCCAGACATGTAGAGAGCAGCAGCCAGCTCTAAACAGCTGTCACTGATGGATCTGGGACCTCTGCTCCTCTGGAGAGGCTGAGAGGAAGAAAGGGAGCTTTTAACTTTGAGAGGAGAGGGGAAAGCCTTGACAGCTGGACCATGGATCCTTTCCAGCCTGTTGTCCGTAATCCTGCTAGCTCCCTGCACACTGGGACCCTCAATTCCCGTCATCCCTGCAGCCCCTCAGGCTGGAAAACACTCTCGCCCAGCCTGGGAACCTGCACGTTGGAGCTGGACAAGGAAGGCAAGTTAAAAGTAACTGAAAGGAGCCAGCAAAGCTCCTTCATCGGCTTCCCTCGTGTCCAACCACTGCAACAGCCTGTTCACGTCTCTGCGAGTTTGGGTCTGATCAGCTGTAACCGAAACAGGGAGCTCTTTATCCAGTGGCGCTGGAGAGCTGGGAGCAGTGGAAGACTAAATACAGCGCAAGCGTGTCCTCCGAGGGGAGAGCAGACTCGCTGTCACCCAGGCGTCCCCAGGGGACCCTGGGGAGCAGAGCCCTCATGCCCTTCTCACCCTTTCCCAGCCCTTTCCCAGCGAGGAGCGGTGCCGCAGGCAGCCGGCTTGGCCGGGGCCAGATCCAGCACCGGGGCTCAGCCTCTTCTTGGGGGTCGTGCTGTGTCCATGCAAGGGATGGATGTCTCAGGGGACCCTGCCCAGACACGCTTCTGGGCTCTCAGGCAACGCTTTGGGGCTCATCCCAAGGACTGTAAGGCGTGGGGACGACAGCTCCTGCGTCCTTCTGCGTGCCAGGAGCATTTCCTCACTGTACCACGGTCACCAGGCGCATTGCAAAAGGCTCTTGTCGCACTCACTGCTCCCTCCAGCAACCTCCTCCGGCAGCAGGGTCCGTGGGAAGGCAGAAACACCTTTCTGCCGCCTTCTTGTCAGCAATCACTCCCTCCCTCCTCCTCCTCCCTCACTGCATGTCCCGACCCTTCCCAGGGCTGCTCCGGGCTCAGCCCGCCTGCAGATCTCTTGCCACACACAGTGGAACTGGCGGGACGCAGACAAAAGCAAATCATGGGAGAAGAAAACATTGCCAAAGTGACCGCAGCCCGGCCCCCGAGCCTGCCCCCCACGCACACCCTGCTCCCCTCCAAGCAGATACCTCTCCTCGGTGCCCCCCGCTCTGCTTCCCCCCAGGGTGGAAAACTG